CTGACTAGATTCTCTTCCACTCTTTCTTGCGTCCATTGACTTTCATGGATCTACGGAAGTAGACCCTGGCAATGGATTACATCTCTCTGTTGAACAACAACAAAGACAAAAACATATAGCTCAGAAATGACAATGAACTATGCCTGGTTCAAACTATTTCTTTGCTGGGCCAAGCAGAAGGCAGTCCAGAGGCAAGGTCTCCCTCTTTACTTAAGACAGTGATTTCCCTTGTGTTTTTTAAAGTTTTGCTTAAGGTTGCAAGCATATATTAAAGAATAGTAAATTCCTCCAAGAGTGAACACAGATGGTGAGTCCCAACAGGGCTGGTGTCAAAATTGTACTATGACAAAACAAGGAAAAGGAATGAGCATGTTTGCGGAAACCCTAACATTTGCAATCTAATATACAGTGGTGCCTCGCTTAACGACAATAATCCATTCCAGGAAAATCGCCGTTAAGCGAAAACATTGTAAAGTAAAAATAAAAAGCCCATTGAAATGCGTTGAAAACCTTTCAATGCATTCCAGTTGGCTTAAAACTCACCGTCCAGCGAAGATCCTCCATGCAGCGGCCATTTTTGCTGCCTGTATACCGAGGAATCCGTTCCTAAACACAGCGGGGAGCCATTTTATTTACCCAGTGGCCATTTTGAAACCGCTGATCAGCTGTTGGAAAACCATCGTTTTGTGAAGAATCGGTTCCTGTAGCAGAGAACCGATCATCGCAAAGCGAAATACCCCCATTTAGACCATCATTTTGCGATCGCAAAAAGATCGTCGTTAAGTGGATTTGTCAAAATGTGGGGCAATCGTAAAGCGAGGCACCACTGTACATAGATTAGATTAGATAGATAAAATTATATATATAAACTAGACACAGAGAGACTTTTTTAAAAACTTTTAAAATTAAAAAGAATAAAAACAAGAAACCCTCCAAAGGGACAAGCTGTCCCTTCCACAACAGCCATATGAGAATTGAGTTTGTTAGGTGTCTCCAGAATGTTGACATCAGTTTGAAAAACAAATGGATAAACAGGATGGGAAAGGATATCCTAAAGCAGGGATCCCCAAGCTCCCCGCCATGGACCCCTCCCAGTCCGTGGCCTTGGAAGGACCGGGCTGCCCAGACCAGATGAGCGGACGGACACGAGCAGAAGGGGAGGAGCAAGCGAAGCTCCGCCTCCTCTCTTATGAGGTTCTAAGGCCGCTGCTGATCTGACAGGAGGCGGAGCTTCGTTTTGCAGCTCACCTCCTCCTCCTGCTCCGCATTTCCTTTTGTTACTGGTGTGGAAACTTCATCAGAGAGGCAGAAATAACTTGCATAACAAATACCACTACTGTACCACCACCCCCCGGTCCTTGGGAGAATGGTCTTCAACTAAACCGATCCCTGGTGTCAAAAAGGTCGGGGATTGCTGTCCTTTTAGGACGTGGCTAGCGGCATGAATGAATACTGTTTTTAAAAAGAAAAAGAAACAATAATAGTGTTCAAGTCGATACAAGATAATAATTCAGCGTTATCAGCTACTGCCCTGGAAGACTCCTTTCTCAATCTCAGCTGCCACGTCGGGGAACCCCAAGGACCCAGTAAGACAGTAATACTGACCGAAATTCGAAGGGTTGAGTCCGTAGTGTTATCATAAAAATAGCATAATGATTGCTGTAATAAAGTAGCCAAACTATTTAAACCACTGGCAAGATAGTACCAGTATTTATTTATTTTTTTGCGAATTTGGATGGAATTCTTGGGCTCCCTGGCCAATTCAGGTCGATCCAGTATGGCACGTTCCCAGCACACCCAGGAGCCCCTCACCTTGACCAATAGTACCAGGTCAGCACAAGTTCCTGTCGTGGAAGGTGCTCTGTGGCATCGTCTTCGGCCCCCATCCCAATCCCACGAAGCCCGTTTAGGCAAACATGACTTACCTTTGAAGGTTCAGGTTGACAGCTTTCTGTCTCCACACAATCACCTCGGTCGAGAAGAATTTATACCCTGGCGTTAATGAACACACCTCTTTAATAGGAAGCAGGGCTGGCTTTGATCTTGTCAGAACCTGAACAGACAACTGCAGGTTTCAGCTGCCTCAAGACAACAGCGCACACTCCCAGACGTGTCTAGGGGAGACTGGAGGGCCCTTCATCCTGGACGTGGCATTCCTGCTGCCACGCCTCGTCTCCATCCCCTCGCATGACAGTGACTTCTCACCATTTACGGTGGTGGGTTCCGTTCTTGGTCCTGCCAAGACGTTGCTTTGATGGTGGGTTTTATTTAAAAGCAACTCCCTTCGGTTCATAAATCTATGCATAACCACAAGATGGACAGGTTGCAGCAGACACACACCTTTGTAATTCAGCGACTCACTCCAGCTGCTCCTTATTCTGTGTTGTTGCCATGCATCCAATGAATTCTGATTCATATTGTGGGAAGCAGATATACAATCCCTCCATGGGGAGGATCAGGAAAAGGCTTCCTACATACTGTACTTCCTGAGAACGCAGGGGACACTTTGCTGGACTCGGGATTGATCAACAGCTGTATTCAACCAAGGACTGAGATGTTAAGGGAGTTAATTGCACCTCTATAATATCCATTATCAAAACCTTTTTAGATACTACCTGGGGAAAATTAGAGACAACCTAATTCTGGGTTGTTCTGTTTATAAATCAGTAATAAAATAGTGGACAGTCACATATACCCTCTTTCTGAAACTAGATTTCTACCCTTTACTGTAAATTGTACATCAATTTGGAGTTTTATGGAGGATACAGACAGTTAAGCAAGGGAAAGACGGGAGATTTCACAGGTAAGTCTACCATACTTTTAGCTACTTACCTAAATAGTTCAAGGGTAGGCTGTTACAATCACTGCTCATCCTTGCAAAGTCAAACTATTCCTAAAGATACTCCCTGTGCAAAAAGGCCCTTTCAAGAATGGCATGTTACCATTTCAAAATGACTGCATGCCCTACACGGCAGGGCACCCAGAAATGGAAGATCGATGGCACCAGGAGAGAAGCTTCCCAAATCTGGAACACATTTCTCATACGACACCCCACGGCCCTTCCTAACTGCTGGCTTTAAACAGAAGGTCAGAGGCCTTTCAATCTTTCACTGGTTGTAGGCTCCCAATGTATGATCTGACACTACACTCATTCTCTTGTATTTATTTTTAATGCTTATTATTTTACACTGGTTTTATGTTTATGTCTCATACCTCAGCATGGAATGTTCTCAGAATATTGAGCAAAGAGAAACTGCAGTTTTTAGTAGGCTTCATTTCTATGTACTTCCTATTTTGTGAATTTCATAAGAGAAGCTGACCTGCTCACCAGCTGCAAAATAATTCACCACCCACCTTAAACTTTAGCTCCAGCACTTATACTAGACATACATGTTCCACCAGTCTGATAACAGCACTGCTGTTGATCTTCAAGTGCTGACAAGAAAAAGACAAGCCATTTCTCGCATCATGTTTTTCTTATAAAAGTTTATTTAATCCCAGAAAGGAGTTCTGTAAATGCTGGAGCCCAAACGGGCGAGGCACTGTGTTATGTGGTTTGCACAAATGTGCACAGGATGCAGTAACAGAACAAAAAAAACAACAACACACACACAAATTCATGAATACAAAATCAAATCCTCAACTGGCATAGAAATATTCTTCAGTTATGTTGCCAGAGGCAGCAGGCTAAGAAACTGATGCTGGCATTTTCCCAGGGTGGATCCTGGTTTTCGCAACCTACTGAACCCCCCACTACCCTTCTCTTGCACCCCAGGCTCTGCTTGGATTTATCTTAAAGAGAGAACATTAGAAAAACTTTTGTTGAACAGACAGGCCTTTTAAGACAACACAACTCACTAGAATATTGGCCTGGTAGAAATGGAGGGACACATAAATGCACTGGCCACACTGCCCTGTTGAGGACGTTTTAGCCCAGGCCGGGAAGCCATTAGACCAAATCTTATTCCAAAGAAGTATCTTTGATACCACAGAAAACCTTGGAGACATTAGCTTGGAGATAGTTCATAGCTTCCAGAATTTGTGCAGAAGGAGTGAGCTCTCCTTCCTTTCCCAACCCAGAACTGGGGAAGAAGGTATCATCTTCAAACCCCTAATCACTCTGGGTTTTGAACCCAGGGTGACATCAAGCAGGGTCCTCTTCCGAGACTCTGGAGCCTGGGGGACACCTTCTGGCTTGCTTACCAAGGCTGGCCAAAAGCTACAGAGCCCTGCCCAGGAGATATTAAGCATAAAGCCTGCCTGAAGAACAGAATGCATCTCCATTTCTCTTAAGCACATCCAGATAACTCCCTATAGGATCAGTATGGACGTCTCCTCTTGTAACAGAAACCGAACTTCTACAGCAATAGGAGAGGTAGCCAAGAAAAGAGCCGTCTTCCCCACCCAATCTCAAAAATCACTAAGAAATCTTGACAACGTATCGAAAATACAAAATCTGAACCCTTCCTAGGACCAGTTTACAGAGCTAGTAGATCTCTGCCATCCCATCCCCTTCAAATAACGGCCTTCCATTAGAAGACAAGAGAACACTGTAACCCAGTTACTGCAGATGGATTCACGCACGGTGGGCGGGGACGTCTTGCTTTCCATGCATTTTGATTTCCAATTCCCAGAATCCCATCTCATTGGGTACACTTGGGGTGGGGGCTTGGAGCCAAAATCCAAAACGTCATGAAAGATCGAAGGTTCCCTTACCCATGATCTAAGAGGCTACATACACCCTAGATTGAGGACTGGTCCCATGACTTCCTAAAGCTCCAAAATGAAATCTGTGCATGGGCTGGTAGCACCCAAATATTTAGCCCGTGCTTTCAGAATCCCCAGAATTTCCCTTGGATTGCCTTCAACCTAAGCTGTAGCTTACATAATGGTCTACAGCTGAACAAAAGAGGATTTTGTTTGCTTCAAACTCAACTGAAAAAAAAAAAACACAAACACTTCGGTACAAGGGGGGGCCATTAAACACCGCTTTGCTTGATGCCAGTCTTGTACCCCTTTACTAATGCAAAGGAAGGGGCAGGAAAAGTCCTCATGTAAACGGAAGAGTGCCCATTGGTCTCTCTCTTGTCTTGGGTAGGGACTGAACGCCAGCCCCACTGTCTAACTAGTTGGCAAGGTCACTTGGAGTGCCCCCCCCCCGTTCGCTGGTCCTTTGCCAGGGGCTCAGCTAATCAGCAGGAAGAAGAGACAGTGGTTACATCAGAGAGGCGGTGGCAGGGAAAGCCGAGCGGAGCTCTTGGTCCACTCCGTGGCCACCTCCCACCCCACCGAGGCTGTCCAGAGGAGGGCACCACCGTCACAGGCTAGTGCCAGCTTTCGAGGCCGCCGGCTGTTGCCCTTTGCATCCGCTTTGCTCCAGAAACCCAAGGAGCCAGGGGTGGGCCAGGATCTGCTCCAGGGAAGGTCGCTTCTCGGGGGCAAGCGAGAGACACCACTCAATCAAGTGACCGCAGTCTATTAAAAAAAAAAAGAGAGAGAACATTTTAATTTTATTTTATTGATTAGATATATATTCTTCCTTTATCTACAGAGCTCAAGGCACATCTGCCTCCCCCTTTTATGCTTATGGCTCTCTTGTTCCCACATTTGACTTTATGTCTTATAAACTGGGTCAGCCCGAGAAGAGAGTGATTAGCCAAAGGATCCCACTAAGTTTTATGGTTCTGGAAAAGGGGGAGCGAAGTAGAACCTACATTCCTCAATCCTAGTCCAGTACTCTCAACACGGCAGGATGCCGTCACTACTGCACCATCCACCAGGCAACGCTCTCTGCAAGCTTTGAGCCTATCAACCTTTTCAAGTTAAACACTGAGGATGCAAAGCTGGCAAGGAATTACTCGCTCAAAACTCCTCAGGATCCATTCATTATGGAGAAGGTCTAGGAGCTGATACTCAGTTCAGTTTTGTCACGCAAAAGAAGTCAATCAAAACAGTGTCATTCAAACGCAGCAGCGTTCATTAACTCACAAGACAGAGGAGTGGCCCATGCCAAGGGCCTGTCCTGTCGGCCTACCAAAGCCTTTATATTTCCAGACACGGTGAGGCTCTCAGATTCACTGACAATTTGAGATCAAGATTCAGAGGGCATGCACCAGGAATCTTCAAATGGTGAAACAGCTGGCTTCCTGATTTTAAAAATGCCATTTAATACATAAACAAAATGGGTCTGGCCAAGGAAGCCAATAGGATGCTGATCTCCACAATCAATACAGAAAATAAATACAGCCAGGAGTGCAAAACCAAAGATTGTATCTCTAAAAAAACTAATTGAAACAAAGAATTCACAGAACCCAGATGATGTTGTTGGCCATTAGCTTAGGAAAATAACTTGGAAAAGTTAATTTGTTGGAATGCAGTTTCCAAAACCTGTCCCTGTAGCCAGGCTGGCTGGGGTAGTGGTTGTATTCTGGAGGCTGCAGACCAAAAATGTAAAGCAAAGCGTGCTGCTTATATACCGCCCCATAGTGCTTCAAGCACTCTCTGGGCGGTTTACAGGTTAATTATGCAGGCTACACATTGCTCCCCTCCCAAACGACCTGGGTACTCATTTGACCGACCTCGGAAGGAGGGAAGGCTGAGTCAACCTTGAGCCGGCTTACCTGGGATTTGAACCCCAGGTCGTGAGCACAGTTTTGGCTGCAGGACAGCGGTTTATCCCCTGCGCCACAATATTTGGAACCCTACTCGGGAAGTTTCCTTAGTGGAACTGGCCAAAAGTCTACCCCCACCTCAGCGCTGTTTACGTTGCAGTTTGTTTGTTTGTTTGTTTGTTTGTTTGTTTGTTTGTTTGTTTGTTTGTTTGTTTGTTTATACCCCGCCTATCTAATCATTTCGACCACTCTAGGAGGCTTACAACATGAAGCATAACAAGTTCAAGAAAAATTTATAACAATTAATTAAATGATTAAATTTAGGTGAGATGGGACTTCTAATTCTTCACTGCATTGGATGTGGGGGCTGTATGTTCCAGAATTAGAAAGTCATGCAGAGCAGATCCGTGCTGATGATTTAGTATAAGCCTCCCACAAAACAGCATCATCCAAATGGGTGGGATCACATCTCCTATCATCTCAAGCCAAATGAGACCATACTGGTTAAAGACAATGAGAGGTGTAAGTCTAGCACATCTGGAAGATGCTGTCTTAGAGCCTTCTGTTAGGGAACTCTAAGCAACGAGAGTGCGGGCAGGAAGCCAACATGTTGTCTGTGCGCTCATGTTTTTAGAAAATGCCTGCATGTAAAAGTGAAGAGAGCATGTGAGGTGCTGCAACGAGAAATTATTTGGGCAAGCGGACACCCATAGCAGACACCCAGTAGCATTCTTGTGATCAGCAGCTGCCCCCTGACCTGAGGATATTCTGCAGCGGTAGTGGAGTTTCCCACGAAGGATCTCTTCGTCGTGTTCAAAAGGGATGTCCCCGCACACCATGTCGTACAGCAGCACTCCCAGGGACCACACGGTAGCCGGGAGGCCATGGTACCGGTGATACTTTATCCATTCAGGGGGACTATAGACCCGTGTACCTGCAAGGACCGAAAAGAGGCAGGTGACAACAGGCCCAAAGGGACTGCCCTGGAATGGAAAGGCTATTGTTCTTGTCCCCTACACATTAACCTTCTTCACAGGACAAAGGGATGACTTAGATGGCCAGGACCCAAATGGGAGGAACAAGAGGCAACATTCATTTCCAGCCAGATCAGCTTCATGAAGTAAGCGTTGCCGTAGGCAGTGCTAGTGTTTCATCCTCACTGTTGAGCGGGAAAAACTGAAATTAAGAGAGTAAAGACTTCTCTGGTGTATCAGCAATCAAGTCAGTCCCAAAAGGCCTATTTTTCAAGCTGTGGTCTAAATGCTCCTACAGCCCCTCGTTTTATCCTGACCAAGGCACAGAAGGGGTCTTGTTTTCTGGAGTTGCCTCGTGAAGGCCTATTAACGCAAGATGGGGAAAGGCTTGCACGCCTCCTCAATCCAGTACGGGAACTTCCAGACAGAGACGGCTTCACAATTTAAGAACACTGAATATCTGAATATCCTCTCTGGGCAAGACAGTTATAATCATCATCATCATCATCTCAGAACTACACCGTAGGGAGGAACTGACCTCCCGGCCTCTGGCTCCACAGCCGGAGACCTTAACCACTGAGCTATCCAGCAGTTCTTCCCCAATGTTTTAGACCCGACTTCTTACTTTTTATTAACGCATCTCTATGAAAGTGCCGAACCATGGAGAAGTTTGGGCTCCTGATCCTGGACAACAACTCCCAGAAATCCTGGCCAGCACAGCTAGTGATGAAGGCTTCTGGGAGTTTTAGTCCAGGGAAGATCTGAAGTTCCAAGGTTGGGAAACACTAGTTTAGAGCTTGGTGTTCGGTTTTCTTCCCATAAGAATACTCTTCCCATCCAAAACGAAGCTGAAGTGCAGAATCTTTATACTACGGGCATGAATATTTATGTTTTTGGACTACAGCTCCCAGAATTCCCCAAGCAGCATGGCTATGTTGCCTAGGGAATTCTGGGAGTTGGGGGTCTAAAACCACAAATATGTGCACCTCTAATTTGGACCTACCTAGTCCTTTAACCCAGCAAGTTCAGTATTACCCATACCACTCTTCATCAATCTGCTGATTCTCAGATGTGTCAGATCCCAACAAAAGTAGATCCACTAAATCACTTGGATGCAAGTTCATGTTTATTTACCAAGTCCGACTCATTCAGTGGGTCTACATTACCATTAAATCTAGCTCTATAATGCTCTGGGAATTGCAGTCCAGTGCATCTAGGCAACCCAAGGTTGGGAAAGGGTGGT